AAAAAAAAAAAAAAAAAAGCTATGATAAATGGCATAATGCTATGCCTTTTAAACAAACCTTTGGCAATATCTCTGATTATTCCTTTCATATAGATTCCTAGATCAGTTTTTCTCACACATTCATCAGTTTCTCCTGAGCACGTACGAGTGTTTAAGAAAGCTGTTTCTGTTCACCCCGCCTTCATTACCCTCTGCAGAGGATGGTTCCACACACCCGCACCCACACTGACCAGAGCAGCAGCCCTGATGCTGTGGTGTTCAGGAATGCAGATCGTGCAGGAAGCAAATGCTCTGTAATTCAGCGTAGCTGAGCAAAGGCCATCTGAAATTTGTAATAATGTAATTATTTGGAACTCTTTAAGGTTAAGGCTTTCCAAAGTAACTGTTAATTCCGATTGTTATCAAATGTCACAGGCTTTTTAAAGTAGATTGTTATAGTGAAATTGTGCTCCAGGTGGAGACATTAGTAGCTACAATGCTGGGATGGGAGGCAAAGCAGTGGGTGCTGCCAGCTGGCTTCAGAAAGAGGTTGTGTCCGCCTTCCTGTCCTCACCTCCCACCCTGAGCACCTGGGCAGGCATTGCTCTTTGAGGTGGGAGTTTGCATGGGCTTCTTCAGGGAGGAGGACAAAAAAGTACACTTGAACACTTGGATCATAAACCGGAAATAGTTTTAATGACCAGGCCCAAAAATTATCCTTATAAAGCTGACTGTCAGAGCTGGTATTGTAGCTCCTTAGTAGAGCACTTGTTTCACTTGTACAAGCCCCTGGGTTCTGTCTCTAGCACTTCAAAAAATTCAGCTGATTGTAAAAATTTTGTGACTGCATTGGTAATGTATGATTACGCTAATACAGCCCAGTAATATGAAGCGATTGCCATTTATATCAACTTCAGAGCAAAGAAATCAAAAATTTCTGTAAATGGCAATAGTTTCATATTTTCAAAGATAAACTTAATTTTGTTGTGGTTTTTGGTCAAGTGTATGTTACAAAAAGATGAGGAGGGGGTCTCCATATAGTTCAGTGGTAGAAAACTTGCCTAGCATCTCCAGCAACAAAAATACAAAGGAAGAAAGAGAACAAACAACTGAGGCTGGGGTGTGTAGCTCCATGATAAAGTGGGGGCTAAGCTTGCACAAGGCCCTGATTTGGAAGAAAAAGTACATACGACCACAGAAATTACAGAACTCTGCTCACATCTTCTCATTGTACAGAAATGAGTATTTGAAAGTCTAGGGGCTGAAGAGATGGCTCAGTAGAATAAGTGTTTGCCTAGCAAGAGCATAAGTTCAATCCCTGGTTCCACCAAAAAAAAAAAAAAGAGAGAGAGAGAGAGCATCTGAAAGTCTATTTGTGCTGTGGGTTTTCCTATGGAATAGATGATATATTCTTATTGTCCAAATATTCCCATAAGTGACTCTTGCATATGAGAGTGATGATGTCCCTGGTTTTACTCACCTAACCTTTTGTTCCTTCCCAGGGAGTAAGAGTGCAAAAGTTCAGTCAGGTATATTTGGAAAGGGATCTACTTATTCACGACATAATGCCGAAAGACTTTTTAAAAAGCTAATACTTGACAAGATTTTGGATGAAGACTTGTATATCAATGCCAACGACCAACCAATTGCCTATATAATGCTGGGAACTAAAGCCCAAGCAGTACTAAATGGGCATTTAAAGGTATGGTATTTTAAATGTTTATTGTATCTTATTGTCTCACAGTTGGTAAACTAAAATATATTACTACAAAGTACAAAGCTTACAGATACTGAATTTATATAGACATACACTCCTGTAAGAACATACTCTACTGGACATGGTGGCGCATGCCTATAATCCCAGCACTCACACTCAATTTGAGACAGGAGGCTCTCTGAGCACTTGAGACCAGCCTGGGGGCTACAAAAGTGAACACAAAGCCAGTCCAAACTGCGTAGTGAGATCCCGTCTTCAAAAAAATTGAAACCATGTAGTGTAGCATCTGACTAAAATTTAATGG